AAACAGAGAGCTGAATATCTCATTTCTGTTCGCCTTCAGCGTTCTTTAGAGCATTTGCAGTACATTCGTAAGACAGACTTAAGTGCCATTATGTACCAAAGCTTTGTAAACAAAACGAACGGTTCAAAAACGTAAATATATAAAAGTGCAGAGAGCAATGTTTTGCATTTGCCGCCTTCTCCTGCGCCGTCGTTACTAAGCAACGGGGTAAACAGCTGCTGGAAAGCACAGTGCTGGCTTGATGACGCAAACGAACCGCGGTTCGAACCCAAATAAAATAATATGAACGCAGTCCAGCGGGGGAGGGGGGGAGCAATCGAACTCTGGTTCGGACCAGACAAGCGAACCAAGTGTGAAAGCACCCTAAGTCTCATGTCTTAACCTTCATGTCTCAAGCAAGTTCAAGTCAATTTTTGTGAGAATCAAGCAAGTCAAGTCACTGCTTTTGTCAAGCAATTCAAGTCAAGTCGTAGCTTGGGTCAAGCAAGTCACTGTCAAGTCATACAAATGTTTGATTATTTAACTGAATTTATATATTAAATTAACTTAAAACTACAGTAGTTATGGATTATGGGAGTCTTATTTGCAACAAAAAAAATTGCAATATGCATTTCTACTCAAAAAGTGTCTACATACAGCTGAGTTAATACAATAAAAATCTAAAATAAATAAATAAATAAAAATTAAAACTACATAGCCTAAGATGTAAATGTAACTGAAATTAGTCCAACATAAAAGCATGAAAAGTATTTAGGTACAGCTGTTTCAATATGCCTCAAACATTAAAGTAGAGGTCTGCATTCCCGCGGACCCGACCGGATTTTTTGCGCCGCGGGATAAAATTCCAGAATAAAATGCGGTAGCAGTCGGTAACTCTGGTGTAATTTGAACGGGAGCGGGTGGTCTAACAATATCCCGTTCCCGACGTCCATTTAGAACAGCATATCTGCGCTTTATTCTTACTGACCACCGGTACAGCTTGCGCTTAGGACTGTTATGCACGCGCTGCACGCATGCTTTAAACGTCACGCGTTTTATTTGCGTGGTCTGTGCGCAGCATGTGCATAACGATGCTCAGAGCAGGCTGTAGGCTACCTGTGGTAAATATACAGCCCTCAGACAGAACAGGTAGGTTGTCGATGAGTGACAGCATAATAAGGATGGAGCAAAGTGTGGATGCGCCGTCCTTGAAGGACGTTCAACTCTGTTTTGTTTATATTTTGCTTAGCCTATAATTTTAAATGAAAGATGTCCTATTTATTTATTTTTCTCTGC